ATCCTGCCAACAGTATCCAAAAAACTCTCTGAAGGTATGACATTAAAAATTGTTTTGTTTTTCTATAATCTTTGTCTCAATGATGTGTCTCCTCTTCAGAAAGATACCTTTGTCCTTTCATATCTTTCTTTTCTCAGCTGACTTTTAACAACCAGTAAATCAATTTATTACAAAATATTTGTTTCTGCCATTTAAAATTTCAATCATGTATATTTTAAACTACCGGTAATTTCTTATTAAAGGTAAAGAACTTCTTAAAAATTTATATTTTTTTTAAAACAAAACAAATCATAGCTTTTACATTTATATCACATTCCTAAATGTTGGTAAACCTATCATTAAAAACTGACGTTTAAAAATATGATCATAATAATTACAACTTTAATTATTTAAGTGGGGACTTGTTTTTAAAAAAAACATTTTATTGCTATATTTCAGTGGAAGCCTTAGCAAGCGACCAAGGAGGTAAGTAAACCTGACATTAAATGTACACTTAATTTGGATTCATTTCTTTTCTTAAAGTATGTGGACACGGAAGTGCTTTTTCCGCACAGCATTTTACACTGTGAAGATTTTATCCTCGGGTTGATTCGTAATTAATTTAGTGAAACAACCTCAATTTTATTTAAATTATTTAAATTCTATTGGAGGTTACAGGTAGTTTGTTAACAAGTTACCTTATCTAAAACAAAGTAGTTGCAATAACTGAGCACACGGCATTGTAGACTTAAAAAAATCACTAAGTTGAATTTAATTTAAGTCTTTGGTAAACTAAACTAACCTTTTCTGTTCTTCAATTTCATCTGTTATCCTGCTATTGGTCGGTTGTCATGCTGTTGGTTGGTTGTCATGCTATTGGTCGGTTGTCATGCTATTGGTCGGTTGTCATGCTATTGGTCAGTTTTCATGCTATTGGTCGCCTGTTATGCTATTTGTCGGCTGTCAGCCATGGTTGTTGTAGTATTAACATATTAAAATATGTGGGGTACTGCAACTTTTAAAGCGTATCAATTGTATATGCTACTGATAACAAATTAATGTTGATCTTTTGTTTACTAGTATCAGAATTAAAACTTCATAAAAAAAGAAAAGTTTTTTAGTTGACCTATTTCTATGTAAGTATCACACACAATACAAAATTTTATATATCGGCAATGAAAATAGAAAATTGAGTTTGTTTTGGGTGAAAACTTCCTTCAGTTAAGTACACCAAATCTAGCATAGATTGTTTTGGTCAGCCTGTAAAAACCAATAAAGTCAAGTGGGGGGGGGGGATGTGTGTGGGTCAGGTCATGTCACTGTGTCCACATTTCCTTCAGTTAAGTACACCAAATCCAGCATAGATTGTTTTGGTCAGCCTGTAAAAACCAATAAAGTCAAGTGGGGGGTGGGGGATGTGTGTGTGTCAGGTCATGTCACTGTGTCCACATAAAATTATGTGGGGTGTGTTAGTGAGGTCATACCACAAGCCGATCAACAGTCTCCATTCACCCCCCCCCCCAAACCACTTGTCAGTATTTTTAATAGTCTCCCCCCTTTCACTTTGGACAAAGCCTAAGTCTGCTGTAAGGTCACATGGGCTTAGTGGTGACTAAGACAAAGTTGGTATGCATTCAAAGAACACATTGGTGAATGATTCTAGCATAAATCATTGTACATCAAATCCCACAACACACTGAGATGTCAGTTATGAATAGCCATATAATTTATATTGCACTTCTTTGAGATAGCCAATCAAAAATGGAGCGTAGGTAGTGGGAACTGGGGTTTAAAAAATGAAAACTTTTTTTATGTAGCCATTCAATTCATTCAATTTAATGTTTATATCTTTATGAAATATTTAACAATTGTGTAATACTGTATGAAATATTTAACAATAGTGTAATATATCTTTATGAAATATTTAACAATTGTGCAATGTCTTTATGAAATATTTAACAATTGTGTAATATCTTTATGAAATATTCAACAATTGTGTAATATCTTTATAAAATATTTTACAATTGTAATTTTTAAGAAATATTTAACAATTGTGTAATATCTTTATGAAATATTTAACAATTGTGTAATACTTTATAAAATATTTAACTATTGAGTTATATCTTAAAGAAATATTTAACAATTTTGAAATATATTTATGAAATATTTAACAATTCTGGAATATTTATATGAAATAATTAAGAGTTTTAGAATTTCTAAATAAAATATTTAACAGTTGTGGAATATCTCAATATTATTTTATTGCATTTTGATGTTAATTCTGCTCTCCATTATCAATTATAAAATTAATTCGTCTTGAAATATAATACTATTATATAATGTATAGACTGAATTTACTCTAAATGACTCATTAGTTCAAATCCTTTCAGACTTTGCTTTATACTTTATAAAATTTTTTCCCCAGTTTGTGGCAACAACAAATTTGTTGATGTTGTATTTGTTTTCGACGAAGCTGCCTTGGGAAAGAAAGTCTCAAATAAAATAAAAGAATTTTTGCAAAAAATTACGGAAAATCTCAGCCTTAACTCAGGAAAGGTCAGAGTTGGAGTAATGTCAAAAACATGTCACCAAGGGGATATAACTCTTGTACAGGTTTGTCAAAGTTTTTGGAATTAATCTTTGTTTTGTTTAACTACCTGTTGCCCATGTTTATTATACATTTTTTTTACAATAAGTTGTGATTATTACTTTGATTTAAAAAATTCAGATGGGCCTAAAAATTAATGTGTCTTTACTTATATTGCAGAACCTTAAACGAGAACAGCTCATTGAAAATCTAAAAGTGGACAAGGGTGAAGAAATTAGTTATTTGATCAAGATAACCATCAGAGATTCCTTTACTCCAGAAAATGGTGCCAGAACGGGCTCTTTGAAAAGGCTGGTGGTATTCTTAGATGACTATCTTCGTGAGAAAAGGGAGATTTTTGCACTGCTTGCTAAAGCCAAACATAGAGACCAGTATGAGGTAACTAGATAATGAGCCATAGAAGTTTCTGAGGATGAAAAGTAATTATGAATTTAAAGCTATTACTATTGTCAGAATGGGTTACGGTAAACGAATCTTTACTGGCTTTATTTGGAGTGTCAGCTGCTTCTAAAATTGGCTCAGGATATAATCTATGTCCAAAGAGAAAAATCTGACATTTCAGCTGTTATTTCCCAAAATTGCTAACCATTCCTGGAGTTGCAAGACATTCCTCTCTCTAATAGCAATATGGAATCATCTTGAGGTTTCTGCTGAGTGACCTCCTAAAACTACAAATTCTTGTGATTTTCACAAAGTCTTAAACTCATTGTTTCAATGTAGTCCCCCTAGAATTTGGTACCCATAATATAGACCCAGACAAGATATTCCATACCAGCGATTAGTTTTAGCTAATGCTCAAACAGGTCGACCATAAGTCAGAAACAAGAAATACGACACCCTTAGTAAAGCGGAAATTATTACGTGGGAATATCAAAATCAAGAAATAATTTGATTTTTGTTCTCTGTTAAATTATATGTAATTTTTTCTTTCAAATTTTATTTGTATAGTGATAATTCATTAATAAATCTATATGTTTAAGATAAAGGTTATATTTACCATAGTCCTGTTTTGTCACTGTTTACTTTTTCACACTTCTATTTTGTCACTGCTCACTTTTTCACTCTTCTATTTTGTCACTGCTCACTTTTTCACTCTTCTATTTTGTCACTGCTCACTTTTTCACTCTTCTATTTTGTCACTGTTCATTTTTTCACTCTTCTATTTGTCACTTTTCTGTTGCAACATGTCCTGTTTCAACATGTTCTGTTTATTCCAGTTAGGTTAAGGAACGATTTCAGTTTTCAAAAAAGTAGATACGTCCACAAAAACTTATTTAATTCATAATCAGAACATGGGTTAAGCTAAGCAAAATAATGCAAAGTATATTAATCGTTAGGGTTCGTGAAAAATACCATTTTCATAAAACAAGTTACAACTGCAAGAACTCATTAACTGCCATGTACATTAAAAATGTTTTGAAATTGAATAAGATATTTAAGTCTTTATTAAATCGAATTCGGTTCATCTTATTATAAAACTGAGATCCTTATTCTTTTATTTGCAGATTTTTGTTATCAATTTCGGAACCAACTACGATAAAGGCTTCATAGAAAGCCTTGGTACTAGCAAGGATCATGTTATTTTCCTTGGTTCAGCTGATGAATTGATCATAAGGAAAAATGAGTTCACAAACATATTTTGCAGAGGTAAGTTCATTGATTTTTTTCCCCTTTACATTAGTAATATTGATGAATAACTAGAAAATTTAATTGGTTTAGCACTACAATCTCTATATCCTAATTGTACTCAGGATTATAGCAAATGTTCTGATCTTAATTATGACAGTATAAATTGTAATTCTCTTTGTATAGTATCTTAAATAAATTTGACTAAAAAGGAAATTTGAAACCCAAATGCCTATAAGTTTATTTCCAAAACATTTTAAAATAAAAGGATTAAAAAATGTGTTTTATGGAAACAGTTTTATATTTAAAAGCTTCCCCACATCATCTCATTTGGTTTTTATTTTTGATTTTATTTATTTCTGTAAGACTTTTATCCCACAATGTACCAGATCTGATCAGCTGGCAATTACACAGGATTCCAGAATAGATTAATAACCATACATAAACAAATAGCCATATAACAGAATAACACTTTTTTTTTTTCCTGCAGATATCTGAGTTGATGTCAAAGTAACTACTTGATTTTCCTACTCAAGAGACTTCCCCTGTGATATTTGAAAGCATTACTTATTTGTATTATATTGTACAAAGCTGTAACTTATGATATGGTTTAAAAACATATTTGTGTTCTCTTTTCATTATATGTTTTGTCTAATTTTGAGTATCAACGCCAATAAACATATATTTATACTTAAAAATGAAAATTTTCTGATTATGTTTTACATACAAATGTTTCTTTGCAATAATAAAATAAAATGTGTAATTAATAAAGAAGAAATACATTTAACTAACTTCTCCTTCTACTTACTACTATTAAAAGTCAGTCCAAAAAATACAAGTGGGGGGGGGGTGCATCCATATAAAGGCCTTAATATCGCATAAGTGAAGAAAAGTACAATTTGAGATAGTTTTCGTTTATTTGAGTTTGTAATATAGGGGCTAAATTGAATACGCGGATTGGGAATAATCTTAAACTAACTGAGAGCATAAAACGTTTATCAGGCATGTGTGCATAGTAGGCTCATATATGGCAGTGAATTGTTGACCATATATGCCAATCATGAGCGGAAACTCAACAGCTTCCACCAAATATTTATATATTGCTTTTTGCGAATTCGAAGGCAGGACAAGTACCTAACACATGGGTTTTGTAGCGTGACAAAATGTGTAACATGTTCTCCGCTGTTAGCAAGAGGGGCCTTCACTGCGGTTAACCATGTAAGGAGAACAAGGGAAGGCTGTACTTTAAAGGATCTGCTTTATGAAGAGTTGACAGAAGGGTCAAGACTTGTTGAGCGGCTGCGATTTAAGGACGTTTGCAAAATGAAAATGAGGGAAGCCAACATAGAAATCAATGGACGGTGGATCACCGTTAAACACCATTCCAGCTGGCGAACAGCAGTGTGGGAAAAAGGCAGAAGATGCGAGAAGTGAAGCCCTTGCAACAAAAGAGCGTTTGCGGAGGTCAAACTTTAACCAGGAGTCTTGGTTCTCCTGCGAGAACTGCAGCTGAGATAGTTCTTCCGAGATCGGGCGCGTAAGCCATTTGATTTAAGTGTTCATAACTTCTTCATGGTATCGCAAAGACGTAAGCCATTTGATGAAGTGTTCATAGCTACTCCATGGTATCGCAAAGACGGAACGATGTCGTGTACACATCTCATGGACAATGATCAACCTGAAAGTTGTGTGATAAAGCAACAAAAATTCCACACTATTCATGACTTATAAGATCAGAGCTGCAATAGTTGTATACTAGTTACAGCTCTCTAAACATTGGCGACAGCAATGCGTGAACTTCCCGTCTACTAAAGTTACTTGACACAACATGAACTCAAGTATAATGCACATTTAAGAATCCAATTTTTGCTACACCCATTGTCCCCATAATACGTCACTGCATACTTTTAATGCCCATGAACTATATTAAAATTCCTGATATCCCAACCACTTTTAACCTAATATTTATTACACCATGTATAAACTAAATGACGATTTCATTTTCCGAAAAGAAAATATTACACACAAAACGCAGTTGCGTTATTTTAAAAAAATCATTTTGCGTAGGTGTCGGAATTAAATTTTGCGCTCTATTGAACTCACTATTCAACCATACTTTCTTTCAAACATAAAATACAAATATGTTATATAATTTATTTTATTATTTTTTTACAAACCAATGATTCATGTAGCAAACCGCTCTTTATTAAATAAAGAACTCCATTACTAACACACCATTACTATCTACGCAATCACCACTGCTGCTCCTGCTAAAACATAACAACATCAACAACGCCATTTCCCATACCCAATTATACGTCACAAAATACAAAGCATAAAGCGAAAGCTAAAAAAATAAACTCTGTACCAAATACGCTGAATAGGAAGCAGCAGGAAATGGAAGCAGTCACACCAGAACCGTAATATATATATATATATATATATATAAGAGATTATATATTAACAAAGAAAATTTAAACAATTTAATTAAGATCAATAAACTAAAAATCTGATTATCAATCAGCAGATCCCAAACTAACCAATAAAAAACAGAGTTAGTACCAGACACTGAAAAATTAAATTGTCAAAAATGACGACTGTTCCGTTTGTAAATTAAACAATAAAAAGGGAAGTCATCAGGAAAATGAAATACGTGTCAATATATACTGTCACATTTTCAACGTATTGACACCCTTCAATGAAGTGGCGGGATTTATGCCAACGAAGCTGACATCATCCAATTATTAACGCAAAATTCCCATTCTTTTCTCCAAATTGCTCCGACAAAGGAGACTTTGCAGCAATGATAGAGATTGTGAGAAAAAAAAATCGGAAATGTTTTATTACCGATTTAGAATATATCTTGAACCAATTATAAAAGCAGATATCCCTGGAATTGAACAGCTTAACCGTGCGGGATTCATTAAAGAATCTCATTAAGACATTTGTGAAAGGCCCATATTCATTATAACAATTCATCTCCAAAGCATTATGGTCCTCAATAAGTTTTTTTTTAACAACCGGCCAATCCTTATGACAGGCTCTGTTATTAATCAAATTTTTTTACACCCACACCCCCCCCCCCTTTTCCCCACTTTTTCTTTTTCGCTTTCCGGATGTTCAAGAGCCTTAATGACATGCTTGTTAGAAGCCAGTTCCCTGCTTTTAAAGATTGCCTTTATTTTTTTACACCCCCCCCCCCCCCCCCCCTTTTCCCCACTTTTTCTTTTTCGCTTTCCGGATGTTCAAGAGCCTTAACGACATGCTTGTTAGAAGCCAGTTCCCTGCTTTTAAAGATTGCCTTAACACTGAAAGCTGTAGTCAAACTGCTGCAAGACGTGCCTATGTGACTGAAGTAAATCAGATCACCTTCCCTCTGGATGTTTGCAGAATCAAGAATCGTTTTACTTGCGCGTGTCGCAAATTGATTTTACACAACCATTTATCAAAATTTCTGAAAATGCTATGTAGTTGAGACAAGTCTCTGTGATTGCTTGTTTGTTTGTTTTTTTACACATAAAGTTCAGTGGGGCCTCGAAATCAAAACTTAATCCGTTCCAGTACCCAGACTGCCTTCTAATCAGCGTATATGGTATTTAGAGTAATAACAAATAATTCTATATGTTTGAAAGAAAGTAAGGTTCAATAGTATTCCTATTAAATGAATGTCCGTGCTTCGAAAAGTTACAATCTCTTTTCATAAGGCTATTCCGTGTGTCGAACGAATCTTACTATTGTTTTAAATTACTGGCACCGTTGTCTAACTCCACTGTCACACAAACATGCTTAGTCCAGACTTAAGATCAACAACCAACGTCCCATGAGAGAAGATATCATAATTCTATATAATCACAGTATCTGTCAGTTCACAAAACGTTCCCTATTCTACCGATCAATGAACACACTGTCTTTTTATATCTCACACAACAAACACTCCGCGTACCATAAAGCTCAACACCACGAACCAATCTCACGATGTAGCCTAACGACCTACAACGGACATGTTTCAGGACACATCCTGTGGACCAGACATGTTTCAAGACACATCTTGTGGACCAGACATTTTCAAGACACATCCTGTGGACAAGACAAGTTTCAAGATACATCCTGTGGACAAGACAAGTTTCAAGATACATCCTGTGGACCAGACATGTTTCAAGACACATCCTGTGGACAAGACATGTTTCAAATTACATCCTGTAGACCAGACATTTTTCAAGACACATCCTGTGACCAGAAATGTTTCAAGACACATCATGTGGAACAGACATGTTTTAAGACACGTCATGTGAACCAGAAATGTTTCAAGACACATCCTGTGGACCAGTGGCTCGTGAAGGTTTTTTTTTAATTGTCCGTTTCGTGGCGGTACTTTTTTCTTTATATGAGTGGCGCCATTCTCAGATTTTGCCACAGGCGCCTCTTTTCTTCAGCACTGCCATCTTTCCCATATTGATTTGATCAGATTTATTCTCGGTTCATTGAGACTCCTGAAGAACCGGATTTTTCAACTAGCCACCTTGTGGCTTCGGTGCTGTCGGTTTATGGTGAGTACGTTGATGCTGAAGATCTCTTAAATTGTGTTATATGGGATAAGTGCAAGTTGAGAACCCTTTCGTTACAAATAATAATATACGATAGAAATATGAAAACCCTTTGAAATCCATCCTGAAATATGGAGATGACCTTTAACCCTTCAACATTAACTGCCTCTCTAATGATGGTTGTTACCAAACAAGCCTCATTGATTGTCAATGTCAACATTAACTGACTGTAATAATGGTTGTTACCCAACAAGCCTCAGTGATAGATGACGTCAACATTAACTGACTGTAATAATGGTTGTTACCCAACAAGCCTCAGTGATAGACAATGTCAACATTAACTGACTGTAATAATGGTTGTTACCCAACAAGCCTCAGTGATAGATGACGTCAACATTAACTGACTGTAATAATGGTTGTTACCCAACAAGCCTCAGTGATAGACAATGTCAACATTAACTGACTGTAATAATGGTTGTTACCCAACAAGCCTCAGTGATAGACAATGTCAACATTAACTGACTGTAATAATGGTTGTTACCCAACAAGCCTCAGTGATAGATGACGTCAACATTAACTGACTGTAATAATGGTTGTTACCCAACAAGCCTCAGTGATAGACAATGTCAACATTAACTGACTGTAATAATGGTTGTTACCCAACAAGCCTCAGTGATAGATGACGTCAACATTAGCTGCCTCTCTAACGATGGTTGTTTTCCAAGAACCCCCCAGTGATAGATGATATCAACATTAACTGACTCTAGTTCCGCAACAAGCCTCGGTGATAGAGGACCGTTTGATGCAAACAAAGATTTGTTCAAGGGCGACTTTCCTTACAATGTATAACTTGTCGCAGCTCATGTTCTAGTCGTGATGACACTGCATGACACGCCACTTGAGAAAGTGAAGAACAAAAAGTTAAACTTGTTTAACAAAAAGAGTGAGTTCTTATAGTCCCGAGCCCTCGGACTAGGACTTTACAAAATGTTGTGTTGGTAAAGGATTGAACAAAGTCATCAGCGACACACTTCTTCAGTTTCAACTCGTCATTTTAACCAAAGACTTCACGTCGGCCATGTAACCACTGCAGCTGCTGGAAGGACTCGGATAATGAAGGGGTCCAAAGTTGTGATGCCTATATTTTGTTATACTATGAACTATAAATACAGGGCTTATTAATCCTAAAAGTGGGAAGGGACCTCCAAAAGTCACGCAATGGCTCTGTTGTATTTTTAATAGT